CTCTCCTCTTCTCACAGGAACCGCAAGAAAGAAACAATTGGCTTAGGATGTATTGATCTTTCACCCTTTGTTAAGTTAAGAACAATTTATTGCTCTTAGGATATTATCCTTAGAAACCTCCCATTTTATTTCTCTCTCTCTCTCTCTCTCTCTCTCTCTCTCTCTCTCTCTCTCTCTCTCTCTCTCTCTTCTCATAGAAATTACAAGAAAGAAAATGTTGGCTTAGAATTTACTAAGCTTTCACACTTTGTTAAGCTAAGAACTATGACCAAAACATTTGAAAGGTGAAACCAAAGAGATTTTTAATCTCAAAGGCTTCTCAACTTAGTTTCTCTCTCTTTCTCTCTCTCATATAAATGACAAGGAAGATACTGCTAATCACTTACCTCTTGTTAAATTAAGAACTCTGACCAAAAACACTTGAATGGTAAAACCGAAGAGAGTTTTGTAAGGAATTCTCAACTTGTTTGTCTCTCTCTCTACATCTAGTTATTGTTTTGGACAAGGAAAGAAGGAAGTTGAAGCCCCTCAGGCAGTTCTTTTCCTCTTCTCTCTTTCCCCGAAGCTAAGCTAAGCTAATTACCATTAAAGGTATCCATTAGTAGAGGGGCATACACCGACTCTTGCGTTCAAAGCTCGGAATCCCCTCCGTCCATTGCGCTCTCTCAACCTCCCCATTTCTCTCTCTATATATATACTTAGAGCTCAACGACTCCACCTTTCTCCCTCTCGTCTCTGTTCTTCTTCTTCTTCTTCTTCTACCCCTCGCATTCTTGGTTCTTCTTCCCAACCTTGCCATAAAAATCCGATCTTTGCCTCTTTTTCGCGCCTCTCGCTGCAACCTTCACCCTCAGGAATGGAAAAGGAGCGATTTTTCGGGGTGAACTGGCAGTCGCCTGACGCGACGACGCCGCCTGAGATGAACTCCGGCGGCGCCGCCGACGACCGATTGCCGCCGACCTTCCTCAACCTCGGCTGGGCGCAGCTGATGCACCACAACGTCCAGTCCGGCTCGTCCCTGGGTTCTCTCGTCTCATCGCTGTCCTCCAATCCGCCGACCGTTAACGACAGCGTCGTCATCCACGAGCTCTTCGGCCAGCTCGGAAGCGTCTGCGACGCCGGGGAGTTCCCCCCGACCTCGCTGTACCACAGTGCTAACGTGTCCTGTTACAGCGCGCCGCTGAGCTCCCCCCGAAAGCTCAACCTTTTCGTGACGGATCACCAGCAGCAGGGCAGGGGAGGAGTTATGCCAAGCAATCAAATGGCGGCAGCGCAATTCGCGCCATCCAACTCGGATCCGGCGAAGAGTTACGACTTGCTCAGGGGCCAATTTGGGTTCCCAGAGGCAGGGAAGCTGTCGAGGGTCTCGAGCAGCCAGTCTCTGAAGGCAGCCGATGGGTCGCAGATGGGAGTTCCGGACGACGGGAAGCGTGTCCCGGTAACGGACCCAGAGAGTTTGGAGATGGAGCTGAGGTCCAAGTTCGGTGGTAGGGCATCGGGAGCTTCGACGCCGGACGAAATGGGGCTCGGTAATGGCCAGGATGCATCGTCGGCACTAGATACAAAGATCAACGCGAGGAAGCGGAAATCCAAAGGAAAGGAGGCATCTTTTTCATCCTCCATTATGAATCATCCCATGGTATGCCTCAGATTGATTGCGGCACCAAATTTCTCATCCAATTTAGTTCATAGATCTCTTACCGAACATTAAAAGCATGAGAATTCCTCGACTGCAGTCCACCGAGGAGGACAATTCGGATGCAAAGAGATGCAGACCAGCTGAAACCAATGGAGCTGGCAAGGATGCGGCAGCGAAGCCGAAGACCGAGCAGAACGGTGATGCCGGTCATGAACAAGGAAAAGAGAACAATGCCAAGCTAGCAGAGCCTCCCAAGGACTACATCCATGTCAGGGCAAGAAGAGGGCAAGCCACCGACAGCCACAGCCTCGCCGAGAGGGTAAGCAAAGAACACTCCACATCTGTTATCAGCTTCCTGTCTTCCTAATTTCCAGTTTGTCTTTGCAATCTTCACCCTCCCAATTTACCAGGTCAGAAGAGAGAAGATTAGCGAGAGGATGAAGCTCCTGCAAGATCTCGTGCCGGGTTGCAATAAGGTCAGCTCACTGATCTGTAGTTTGGTGCTGCAACACATCGGTTCTTGATCCAAAAGTGTAATCTTGATGCCTTGAAATGTAGATCACTGGCAAAGCTCTTAAGCTGGATCAGATCATCGGCTACGTGCAGTCGTTGCAGCGCCAAGTCGAGGTATAGAACTATAGCCATTAAAGCAAAGATCAATTATATCTCAGCTCAAACTTCAATCCTCTGGTTTCAGTTCTTGTCGACGAAGCTGGCCACCTTGAATCCTCAGCTGGACTTCCTCCCAAAAGATGTAAGGCAATCGAAATCTCTCCGATCCGTCATCTCTTCTCTGTCCAATTTGCATCAGGCTTACCCTATTCCATTGCCACAGCAAATCTATCCATTAGACATGACGAGCACTGCATTCTCATACGCTCAGCAACCTCTGCAGAGCGTCGCAACCATAAACCCAACGAGTTCCTCCCTGCACCGACCGCCGCTTGATGGATTCGCAGATGCAACCTCTCAGGTACTGATGCTGAAATGAACCAAAATGTGCATAAAGATAAAAGTGTACGATTGAAGCAATGCTGGTCTTCTGCAGCTCGGGAATTTGTGGGAGGATGATCTCCAGTATGCTGTTCGGATGGGGTTTGCGCAGAGCCAGGGGACCGCCGCCTTCTCCCAAAGCTCGCTGGCAGAGTGAATCGACTCAACCTGGTCACACCATGAATTCAGGGACAAGCTGCATGAATATTGCTTATGATCATTTGATTTCATAGTAAATTAAAGGACTTCTGTATGTAATCTGTGGAAAAAGTTTGAGTCCATCTTCGAGAAGACTGATTATTGCTTGGTTTAGAGAGATGGATGCACTCATTCAACTCTCGAAGATGAAATGAGATGTCTTCTCTCATGCTCTACATTTAAAGTACTACCTATTTGAGCTGGAGTCAACTCAACCATAAACCAAGCGGAATCTGCAACCTCTCTTTCTATCTTATTAACCTAAGCCACCTAACACTGGCAATATTCTTAGCAGCTACCCGATTGTTTATGCTATCAGCATTGCAGGTACCTTCTGTAATGAAAGGAGTGGCATCAGATTGACTAGGTTGGCAAACTTGAATTTGACAAGGACCAATCGAGGAGACAACCCTTGTCATAAAGTCGGATCTCCAAGGCTTTACAGATCATCATACAAGAGAGTAGCAATTTAGCTGGAGGCCATGGCCATGGTGGTTTAGATTCCTTCCAGCAGTGTAATCCTTCATAAGTCTTCTCTCTCTCTCACTCTCTCTCTCTCTCTCCTCTCTGATTAGTTGTAGCCATCAATTCATTCATTCATATCAAGTTGCATGGTGATTTGTGAAACCTAAACAAGATTTGGTCTGGTCTGGTGTTTTCTTCTAGTGGAAGCAGCCATCATGGCTGTCATCTTTGTTTCTTGAGGTCATATTGTTCATCCTCTTTACCTGGTTTCTGTTTTTGCTGGAGTATTTCACTGCTTTATTGCTTCCAATGCAGATATAAATCTCATGATCATGATCCAAATCAGAGCACAGGCTGTGAGGTATCGATCATTGGCTTCACCAACCATCCTTACCAGCTAAAATCTCCAAATCTTCCCAACCAACCATTCAGAACAGATGAAGCTCAAATTTGCTTGTCTTGACAAATATGGATTGGGACTGCTCATGCCACCCTCTTGCTGCTTTTTATTTTCCTTTTGTCCTCTCTTGTTCTTCACTAATTATGCACCTGGATGTATTACTCATGATCATGGACCTACTTTGCCGAATTGAGTCCACGCATCGAAGCATTATAATTAAACTTGTTGGTGGTTGGAACATCAATTGTCATAGCCTTCAAGAATATTATGATATAAAAGTTGATCAATATTTTTCTCTCCAAAGAGTTTAGGATCTTCGGTTCGAAATTAAACAGGCAAATCATACCTTGGTCTGTTAGTTTCATCACCACTTTGCTCCTTATACCTTTCTTGAATCTTGAGTTCATCTTTTGGACATGATCAACTCTTCTAAACCTGGAGAAATATGTAGGAAAGGTCTCTGCATTGCCTCTACAAAGCTAATTAGTAACCAAAGCAACAAGGAGATGATAACAACTTGGTATTGCATTATGACATGATGTGGATCCCTGGGATCAAATTTGTCTTTAGTAGTTTTTAGGACCTTCAGGAACCGGACTGCATTGGACTTTTGAGTCCCAATCTCATTCTCAATGTAGATCATGATTCAGTAATCAGACTATGCTGGCCAATATATAATTGGATTTTGGTGAAGCATTCACATCCCCTCAATTAATCTATTTCTTCTTCATGTGGTGGTGGTCTATATCATGGTTGAGCTGTCTAAATCCAAATGCATGAAGTGATCAAACATCCCTGTCAACCAACTAGGAGAGTAATCTTTTCTCATTCCACACCTAATTAACCTGGATGCCACAAAATGGTTGTTGTCTCCATGATTTGGGAACAACTAAAAGAACATTAAATTTAAGTATGAAAGTTTGATCAGTTAATAGATGATTAAGGTATTGGTTGGTGATTAGGATGGTTTTAGATCATTATTATGGGATGCAGACCAGAAATCTGAGAAAATATCTTCCTAAAGGGTAGCCAGGTTACTGTAGTTCCAGAAGCAAACTAAGAAGGGAATAACTCACAAAGAACATGTTCCACCACTGTCCATTTCTGCCCAGGCTTTGGTAATAGTAATGATTAAAAGCAGAATACAAAGGATGAAAATTGTTAGGAAAATGTTAGTACCAGCTAAATCTCACCCTGTCCCTGTTGCCAAAGGTTACATGAAATTTGCAAGCCTTCCATGTCTACCATGTCAGATCAACAGCAAGAAGAAAAAGGTACATGAAGGCTTTCAAGAACATAAACAAATGAATGTCTTTCAAACTTCTAATGTATTAAAGCAGTGTTATGTATAACAAGTTTCTACACCACTCCATTATGAGAACCCTATAATGCCGGAACCACAATAAACGATGAATATTACATGCTTGTTCAGACGTATGTCGATATTGGCTCCTTGATGACTTATGAGAAAACTAAAATCGAACAACTCTCACTAACATGACAAACAAAAACCACTTTCTGACAGAATTAGGAGACTGAGAAATTTCTTGATACACTGTTGTATTTTCTGGACTAACAGAAAAAATTTCAGCAGCAGGTCTTGCTGGAAGTCTGCTTGGTCTCATCGCTCCCATTGCTGGTAAGGCTCACCCTGTTCAGAGACAGCTCTGATTTGTAGGAATCCGAGTTAAGGACCTTCCTGCTCACATTGTTATATATCTCCCTGATGACAATCTCAAATGCCTTCTTCACATTTGTAGAATCTAGAGCCGAGGTCTCGATAAAAAACAGCCCTTCAGCTTCTGCAAGGCTTTTTCCTTCTTCAACAGATATATTTCTGATGTTGTCCAGGTCACATTTGTTGCCAACCAGCATCTTTGCAACAGTTGTATCAGAATGTGCTGCATTATGTTCGATCAGAATACATATAGACATGGCATTTCATAGGATAATATCAATCATCAAACATGCTAAAGAACACATGCATATGAATCTGGAAAAGACACCAGCAAAGCTGCTGAAAACACAATGAGAAGCTAATATAATAGGATATCTATGATTATATAATCTCGGTCTCAATTTAGTTTTTAGTCAACCAATTTCGATTGCAAACCTGTAGCTTTCCTGATTGTTTATTTCAAATAACCAATAAAATCTGAGATATAAATTCTCAGTTTATATCAGTTTGAAGTTTGAGCTACATATACATCCAGTAGCCTGAACAAAACCTTTTAGTTTACACCATCTCGGTAAGATAAATTTTGTGGCAGGGTTCATGAGTTGCTGATTGACACATATGGAAGTTGCAAGTAATGTCCTCAGAAACAAAGAGATGAGAACAAATTAACAAGATTTTTAATGTATTATCGATGTGTTTCACTTCAATCCTACATATATTATGGTTCTTAGAGAAATTATAATCACATCATTCACTAACCAAAAATGAAGACAGTAACTGGACGCAAAGGAGATACTTAATAACTAAGAAAAGTATATTGGTATCTACATATAAACAAAGCTTGATTGAGTTCCTAAAAATAAAATGTGGAGGGTTTGAAAAATGCAGAGGCTTCTAATTATTAATATAATCACCCATTGACAGGCATAGGCAAAAACACATTTACAAGTAACACAAAGACGAGCCTAAAAAATTATCACATGATGAAGAAAATATATTTTACATTAACATAACAAGAAATACTAGTAGTGACCTTCCTCTTGATCACACCGACACATTGGACTAATTACCAGAATTCACTATCAGTTAAAAAGCCCTCTTAATCAATTGCTGCAGAGTGAGCAATGAGGTGCAAGGAAAATCAAGTATGAAAGATAGACTTTAACTTTTGGGTCAGACTAATCTACGTGGACTTCTGCAATAAGTCAATAACTAGTTATTTTTAGTCAATTAAACTGCAATAAAACAAGTCTAATCTGAATATCGTTTTCTGTTTCTGTAAGGCTAATCTACATGGCATTTTTAGTCCTTCACCTTCTTTTAGCACTAGAGTACTAGTTTGTCGAACTTATTTATATTGTTAATCCTCTGTGCCTCTTCGGTTGACTGATCTTATATCGCCTTCTCAGTGGATTGTTCATCTCGGTTTAGTTGGCCGTTATTGACTTTCTGCAAGAAGTAAATGCATTTCCAATTTATAATAGTAGCTCACTTCTAATTATTAGCCAACACTGAAATAATAATAAAAACAGAGCTATCCTCATTTCCTAATGTGGCTACTAAGCTTTCCTATCATCAGCGCATCATGATAGATACTGACAAACTATATGCTCAGCCACACAAACTTTAAATTTATTAATATCAACATTGATCTGATATGATGTTTAAGTTCAATGCTTTTGCATAGTGCATGTTATTATTCTTCATCATTGCACAGTTTTATCCTAATTGAACGCAAAGCACTGTCGGATGTTTTGCTTGCCCCTTAGGTCATCCATTATGGTGTCCTTTGGATCCTAAAACGACAACAATAAAAACAAAAAAGGCCTAATAACAATGTTCACAATGATCATACGACAGTTTTATCTCATACTCAAAGTAGTATAGTTCTCACAATAATTGGTTGACAAAACAGAAAACTAAGGCCATAGTATTACATCCATGTCCATTTAAATGTCATCCAAAAAATGAGGAATTTCAATTTTACTAAAAGTCTAAAACAAGCTTGCTCGATGCTCAACTACAGAATTCGGCATCAAATTTGTTAATCCTACTTTCTTGAGTAAATTTTTCTTTGGCTAAAAATTAGCATCAGCTCCTGATATCTTTGTGTTTCCATTGATAGATATCGATTGGATATTGTGCACGACATTCATAGAGACTCCTTAACCTGAGCAGTCCTCGGGAAAGATAAAGATGGTATCGACAAACACTATATGTAGATAGTTTCTTTTTTGAAGAGAAAATTTGGGTATTCAAAGTCTATTTGTTTCAATAATTTACAGTACTATTCAATCAACACAATTATCCAATTCATGCAACAAATCTTCGAAGTTTGATCTCTATACCAATTCCACTGTTACTCTATGGCAGGTCTTAGTATATTGCTAAGTAGACCATCCATGACTTGAACTTATTTTATCTTTCTCCATTTATAAGATTTCATTCAAGAAAGTATCCCAAAGCATCATATATGCTTATAACTCCCTTTTGAAGACATTAAACTGCACAGAACAACAACAAGTGTAATAGAAGAAATTTATGAGATCTAATGAAGAAAGGGGTAGAAAAAAACCCAATTTTGATGAGATAACATCAATTGATTTAGCCTTTCGTCATCCTATTAATGGAATAAAGCGAAAGCAAGAAGTCAGATCTACCACGGAGGGAAACAAAAGATCCAACTTTTAGGCGAGATCGATCGAGGGGGAGATAAGAATCAATAGCAGATGGAAAGCATAAGCAAGGGTCAAAAACATCATCTGTGGGTACACATACTTTCGAGCTCCTGGAGCCAGCGGGGGACGCTGTCGAAGGTGGTGCGGCGGGAGATGTCGTAGACGACGAGCGCGCCGACGGCGCCGCGGTAGTAGGCGGAGGTGACGGCCCGGAAGCGCTCCTGGCCGGCGGTGTCCCAGATCTGGGCCTTCACCTCCTTGCCGTCGATGACCACGCTCTGGGTCTGGAACTCCACGCCGATGGTGGCCTTGGAGTGAAGGTTGAACTCGTTGCGAGCGTAGCGGGAGAGGAGGTTGGACTTCCCCACCGCCGAGTCGCCGATGATGACGATCTTGAACAGATACTGCTCCCCGTCCTCCCCCTCCTCCATTGCCGCGTCCCAACCTCGTCTCCTCCCAGTGAGTGCGTTTGACTCACCACATGAGCTTTGTCCTGTAGAGAGACGAGTGTGTGTGTGTGTGAGCTGTGATTTCGGTGGTTTGCAATAGATTTGGTATTAGATTTGGGCTCTTTATCAAAAACGTCCCTGTATTAAGACATAACAAAGAACGACCCTTCCTATATGCAATCTATCAGAAACACCCTTCAATTATCATAAATGACCGGAAAGCGTTTCTCTCACTCAGAAGGGATGTGAGTATCCAAAAAAGTCCCTATCTTTATACATAACAAAAAAGGATCCTTCTTACATGTATTCATGCCTTTCTCTTTTTTTTATGCGATCTATCAGAAAAAACCTTAAATATTCGCAAATGACCAAAATAGAGAGATGTCAGCATCCAAAAACGCTCAACCAATTATTACTATTCAAAAACAATAAAGACATTAAATATAATACCCAATGCATTTTATCTTATCCAATATATTTATGCACCTATTTTTCTATTAAACTAATTTCCAAACCCCACTAAAAGTTGCTCGAATTTTATTTAAGTTGATCATAGAGCCTTTTTGCCATCCCTTTTCTAAATCATCTCAGTCGACAAATGGTGTCACGATCACTGACACGAGTGATGACAAGATAGCTCAGCTCAGACTTTGAGATCTCTTTGCTTTGGTATTATGGTTGGGAGCTTTTATTGGGCATTGTGAACTCATTTAAAGGTTGGAGGTTATGGCCACGATTCATTCGAATGCCAAATCATCATCTTTGACATATGAAATAAATCAGATTTTTTTTTGATAAAAAAATATATTATGTGAATTTTTTTGATTTTTTGCTCTTCCTTTATCCCCACCTAATAGTTTTTTTTTTCTGTATACCTCTCAAGAAAAAAAAAATCAAATTCAATCCAAAATTGATGGGTTAGTGTAAGCTTATCCGTTTAAATAGAAAATAAAAACATATAAATTCAAATTTACTAAATATCTTATCTAAACATCTAAATATTAGTCTATTAAAAAATAATTTGGATATAAATTGGCTGTGTATAATGAAATGTTAATAATAGCTCTACTATAATCTATCACTTTTCAGGCTAATTATATATTATCCCTATAATTTATTATCTTTAGCATTCCTATTTTGAAAAGATACATTTGAATCCTTATATTTATGAAATTAAAATATTTAATTGTATTAAATTATTTTTTTATAAAAATCTTAATATTTTACTTTCGTAAACATAAATATTTTAATATAATTTTTTAAAATACTAAGGATAACTAATTATAATGGATAATATATATATATATATATATAATTATTATCTCCATCTTTCTCCCAACCCAAGTCCTACACTCCCACTGTCTTGTTTGCTGATTGATCGCACGAAAACTGCAATGGAATCCCATTACAAGCAAGCAAGGTCTTGGTTTCGATAGAACCGGAAGGACAGAAAGACAGACCGGAAAGAGATGAAGATGGAGACCAGTAAGCTTTGGCCTTCAAAGCTGCAGAGCAAAGCTTTCCTTTGGCTCAAACGTCAACACCTGATGGACTCGGCAATCCAAGCGTGGAGACATTAAAGAAACCAACCTTACGGTGGCTTTGGGATGGAAGCCATAAAGCAGAGCATAAGAAGCAGTGGAAACACTCGGCTGAGGGGGAATAGTGTCCTCGGTGACGAGGCCACGTCATGCCTCTCTGTGCCATTGACAATGACCTCTCTCTACTGCTTACTAGTCCACTGCTTCCTCTCCTCTCTCTCTCGCTTCTTCTTTATAAGCACCAGTACTAGAGTGCAGCATGCTGTTTTCTGGTTGTAGGAGATGATGATGAGCAGGCACCACATTCCAGCGTATGGGGACTGGGATAACTGGGATGATCTGCGCATGGCAGTGAGAGCAGCTTATCATCAACATCACCAGCATCACCAGAGAAAGGTTCTTTATATATTGTTGAATGTTGCCAGGTAACACTTTGCATTGAGTTGTAGGATCTCAAAGGTGTTCACTGATTTGTGGTTGACAAGGTGAAGAGAGGAGGAGAGAAGCAGAGGAAGCAATGGAGGGTGTGTGATGTGGCAGCTCAGACCACAGCAAGGGGAGGAAGAGCTCCCAAGGCTGTGGACGAGGACTTGTACAAGATTCCACCTGAGCTCCTCCACAAGAAGCCCGAGAGGGTTAGCCTAGTCTTTTTATGCTTGTGTTCTTTTGTGATAGCCTACCAAAGTTTAGAGCAAAGATCACATCCTGGGTGTTGTGTTCTAACATTGATTGCAGAAGATGCTGCTGAGGAGCTTGGTGTCAGGATGCATGGGGCTCAACTGCATTGCTTGAGAGAGAGAGAGAGAGAGAGGATGTAGAAGTAATGTAGTGAGGGTGAAGAAGATGAGCATCAGTAGAGGTGTAGTTTTTGTAGCACTTTTTTGCATGTTTCCTTCTTTCAGCAGTGTGGAGAGGTGGTATTGGTAGACTTTGTTGTTGTGCTTGAAATCTATATGCATTGATCTCACAATCTGCCACTATCTATGACACACACAGCATACTAGTCACTCAATAGTATCATTCAAGTTGGCATTTAAAGACCATTGAAACCAGGTAGAGTCTTACATGTCCTCCAGCTTTCATCAGGTTGGGAGTTGCAAGCAGAAGAGTGCAAGGGTTGGACAAGGAGCTGTTTAATGTCTCCAAAAGGCTGTGGTGATATGGTACCATTAGTCCTTCCCACTCTCCAAGAGTGAAACCAAATTTCTATAAAGTAAAAGAGGAGACAGAAAATGCTGATACATGATTTTCAAACACAATGTAACTGAGATCATATAAAATGAACATTGTTGTTTCATTGTCATGAACTCCTTTTTCTTCTTGAGAATGATGATGAGATTGATATTTCTACCTCAAGGACCAAAATCCAATATCTCAATGACTCAAGTTCTACATTAGACTCGATCCAACATCCTCTCTGCTCCTTGGAAACCTGCATATTAGAACCTGAAATCACTAAGCTCTCTCAACTTGGAATAAGTTGAGAGAGGTTAGTTAATACAGTTGATGTATGCTACAGGTAATAGTGTAGTTGACTTTGCTAGAAAAAAATACTTTTACAATATAAAAGAAAAATGTCAACTCAAAAACTCAGATACTTACCATCTCATTGATGTAAAAGATAAAAAGAACTGATAAGCTAGAATAAAACAATTTGATGTACACCACCTAGTAATTAGTGTAGTTCAACTTGCTAGGACTAGGCATTTGTAGTCTGTACAATATTACATAGAAAAAAATCAACTTGAAAACTCAGATGTACACAGTCTAAGCGATGTAGATGATAAAGGAACTGACAAGCTAGAATGAAACAAATTGAACTGGTTAAATAACTGTGCTGCAAAATTTAGCAAATTCTGATAAGCATCACATTTTCCTTTTATTTCCACTAGATCTAAATATTGCTTTTCTAGAATCTAAGAGTGGTTGCCAGACAGAAAGAGACACATAACAGGCTACTATTTCTCATGTTTAGTAAAATAGCGAAAAAGATGACAGTAGGGCTTGCAAACTTAAAAGTCAGTTTCGTAAAAGCAGCCCGACCAAGCTGGATAACAGTTACATCATCCTCTATCCAAGTAGAGGAATTAGATTGAAGGATGTTGCTTCAAGCAGTGAGAGTTCCATGATTTTTCACCTTGATTTTTGTAGCTGAATATAACTAGAAGCATCCATGATTGCCATGAGAAAAACTGCTTTTTACTTGTCAGAAGCTGAAACTGTGAACACAAGGAACCTTGAGACACACTACCCGTTGGGTGCCAATTGCTCAGTCTCTGAAAGGCTAAGGGAAGAACTTCTTGGCATTGAAAGGCCGAACCCTTGAACTTCGATCTTGGAAGTTAAAATTATTATCCGTATTCATAGGAGCAAATGCTGCATGATTTAGGAATGGTGTCAGAGACCACACGAAAGAACTGAAAGATGTCTATGGAATTCCAAGTACATAAGAGTTTCAAATATTATTAAATATCATGGGTGGGCAATGCTACAAATAAATGTTCTGAAGTGGAGAAGAATCATATACCATGGTATTTGAGTCTTTGACATTTATACTAGTTCAAGTAGTTTGCCTACGAACATCAGTTGAAAACCCAAACTAACCCTTGTTAGTTCTAAAGTCCAGTTCTGTTGCGAATTAATGTAGATTGTACACTTGTTAAAAGGGGAAAAATGACACTACCAGAGAAAAAGACTAGCTTACAAAAGGCATTTGACTAAGATGATATCCTAGGAATGCAATTTATACTATAGTTTGGCAGAGAGGCGACCTAGGAATCTCAGTAACTGGCTGGACCACTGTATCATGTAGACTAAATCCATCAAATAATTAAATGTTGTTAAAGGATACATCCTGAGGTCTAAGGTTCTCTCGAGCCTAGGCATGGAGCAAGCTACATGCCTAGCAAAGGTGAATCTTACATGAAAACTTAGGAAAAGCAAATTGAAATACAAAAAAGAAACCAAGAATCAGCATATTTCTTTGCTATAAATTTTTGTCATCATCACAAATACAGATGTCCTTTTTCTCTGAACTGCATCGGCACTCACTCTATGTAACCTTAAAGAAATTCTGACGCTGATAAAAAGCACATATAAAATCATCATTCCTGGAAATGGAGCAGCATAAATAACATTGCATGTTGTCAAGGATTTAAGTTCCAGCGGCATGAGCAAGGGCAATCAGACACCATAATAGACATCAATTTTTCCACTAAATCCATTTATAAACAAACAAGATAGAGTAGATAATAAGGTGCATAGGGCCTCACAGAAAGAAAAGAAAGAGAAATCCAAGAAAAGGGCCAACCTCTGTCCCTCATTCTTCTTTCTCTGTCATATTCAAATTTATCACGTACTTGGCTAACCCTTTGCCGTGTTTCATTTCCCTGGAGACCTTGTTCCTGCATTCAGAAGAGTATACTCTATACTTTATCACAAAGTCACAGGATACTAACTAGATAAAGCCCATGTCAACAATGAAACCTAGCTTGCATTGGAAAGATAGGCTCCTATCATTTGGAATTCATTTTTTAAAAGATATAATCATCAATATCAAATCCTCAAGAAAGAAAGAGAAATATGCATTTGTTCGCCTCTAGCCAAAATTTTTATGCACCTAAGGATACAATAAAGTGTTGATCAAACAAAATCTCTCTTTACACAAATGAGGGAAAAGTTTGTTGCCAAAAAAACCTGGGAATTCAAGTTAAACAGAGGCATTAAATGCCTCAAGTCTAAATTAGCAGTAGCCATATATGTCAGGTTTCCATAAATATTTAAACCAGGAAAAAATATCAAACAGAAATCAGACTTGTTTTCTTAAATGAATAATTTCCTCACTGGCTTACAGATGATATTGATTTCATTTCCATCATGATTGATATGTTATTCAAAGTCTCTAATACAGTTACAAACAGTGATCTCTACCTTCATCCTTATCTAGAAGAGTTACTAGGTTAAAGGAAAATGGCATTATCAAAACATTTAATTAATGACTAATGATACTTCAGGGTGTTCAAAATTATAACACATTGTACTAGCTGCTTTTAGGCAAAGGATAGCTTAAGTGATTTTTCTAAGCAAACAAATCATACAAATCAGATAAGAAAATTACAACAGGTAAGCAGCCAATAAACTACTGAACATAAGATAAGAAATACAATGGAGATGATTTAGAAGACAGATTTCAGGAAAGGCATTTGGCAATCAGCCTATCTGGAGAATAAGATATAGCATGTCATGAGTGTATAGCAATTATGGTTTCAGTCCAGGCAGATAAGTTTTGTCATTGGTTATTTGTATCCAAGCCAATTGAGCAAAATTCACCTAGAATAAGATGGTTTCAGCAGAAATTAAATGGTTCAAACACCAACAATGACGATTTGAAAAATATGGATTACTTTAAAATTACATCTAAATAAAAGACAAATGAAAAGAAAGTCATGATGATTACTATTAGTCATGTAAAACTGATGCACTATGGATTCTTTGACATGCTGAATCAAGTATAATGTATCAATCAAAATCATCAACATCTCAATACAAACGGTCAAGATAAGCATACTATCAGCTTTCGGCCTGAAATCCTTAAACGACTCAACAGAACTTTTAAAGAGCATCATGCTCCTTGCTCATATCTACTTTAGCTCTAATCTTCTCTAACGATACTATGATGTTGCTAAGCTGGATATACATACATGCTAAAAATGGTAACAAGAACTATAAAATATCATCCACCAGAAACTTCGAAAAGAAACATCACAAAAGCATACTATAGCAAGAACTCCAAAAGTTAACATAGCAGTACCTTATTTAGCTCGGCATGTGATTGCCTTTGCCTGCAACAACAAAACGAAGTACATAAACTGAACTAGTTTTTTAAAAGTTATGATCATTCAAATTTAGAAATGGCTAACTCTTTGACCAGAATCATATACTTCAGATGTTGTAGAAATATGACACGGAATAACTGTAACTGCCTACGAGCATTAGCCCTCCACATTATTACTTATGTAGAAGATGTTAGAGAAAGAAAAGAAATAGCAGTGGCCCATTATCAATTATTTTTTCATTTATGAATTAACCATGACTGTCAACTAAATTGGCGAGCGAGCGAGCGAGCGAGAGAGAGAGAGAGAGAGAGAGAGAGAGAGAGCATGGTCCAAATAAAGGTGCAACTTATTCCAGTCCCAACTAAAATGTAAGAATCTCATTATATAGTTCTCATGTAGAAAGCATACTTTGCAAATAGATCTCTAATATCTATACCTGTATGGTGAAAAGTCCAAATCATCATCTTCGGAAGATTCATAATTGGCATGATCTTGTGCAATCTTTTTCGAATAGCCTTCATCCCAGTAAAGCCTTTCCCAATTCTCCCTAAGCTCTTGATATAATTCCATGTACTTTTTACACCAAGGTTCATGCTCCTGTAAGATAATTGGACTTAGCATCTTCAAACTGTGTGACATGATTATTGCACATTTTGATGATAGCGTAATTCGCTTAAAATTGTTTGCAATATAAGAGGAACCAGAAGACCAAGTTATGAAGTAGAACCTGTATATTTGAACATGTAAAGGCATGTCTACACACAACTAAAAAAGAAAGTATTTAGCAATGTTATTAATATGAAGTTTCAACATTCTGAGAACTATGTAATATTACCAACAAACATGTACCCAAAAATAAAAATGACAACAGTTTATATCAGGACACGCGATTTATTCTGCAACCTAAATTGCTTTCAGCGAACGGTGGCCGCTTCTCAATCACCGCACAAGGTGAGATTTAACGTTTCATATAATAAAAAAAGATGGCATCCTCCAAACAAGCATGTATGATGAACAAAACACTATGTTTCCGTTTATGCTCACTTATTGTTTGTCGATTTGTCTCTTAAAGGTTTACAAAACAACAGGACTAAGAAAGCCTCGATAAAAACTCGGTCTTTCTAACGACCCCATAATAGTTAGTGTGCTCGTCTTCCCTTTGGAGTCAGTGATGATATCCACAAGAACAGGTAGGTGGGAAGGGGCATTACCGAATCCTTGAGGACGAGGCGGGTGCGGCGCATGAACTGCTCCCGCATCTGCTTGCGGCGCTTGTTGGGGAGGTTGTCCCTCGGGATGAGAAACCGCTCGCGGTGAGGGACGTGCTCGCCGATCTCGTGCATCTCCCCGTCCACCGCCCACCACTCCGACTTCCCCTCCACGCCCTTCTTGCCCAGCGGCGGGACGCGTGTCATGCCTGGGCGCCCCCACCGCAACTGCTGGAGGCTGAAACCGCCCAAGGGCGGCGGCTGCCGCCGGACGACCCCTCGCAACATGGGGAGAACGCGAAGCTACGGCGACGCAGGGCACGGGTCGGAGCACCGCCGCACCTGTCAATGCTCTTTTGTCCCGTGATGGTCATGCGTGTTACCTTAATGCCCCTAACAACGATGTCAACGCTTACGCTTCCGTGAGGGTATTAACGTCAATTGATATTTTGGTTTCTTTGGGTCTCTATTAAGAATTAGAATGACAATTTTTGTCCTTAAAAATTGCAATGTATTTATTGTTTATGTGATCTCCAAATATTTCTATCGTTAATATCCATAAAAAAAATCTCTAAATATTTGAGTTTTTTTATGGATATATTTGCATATATATATGTATGTATATATATATATATGTATATAAATATATGTATATATGTATATATGTATATATATATATAAAGGACAATAACAAAAGCCAATTATTTATTGATTTGTCATATTAGGTGTGATAAAATATTATCTAATTCACAAACAAATTAATTCAAGATAAAAGAAACCAACATAATTCTATGTCTGTGTGTAGTTAGTTTGCACCAAATAGACTTCCTCCATATTTATGTTACAGACTGGTATGCAATTGCCAACCTAAATTCGATTGGTGTAGGATCTTGAAATGAACCAAAAAGACAAGTAAGAAAGAGAAAGCTCATCTTCTCTGATGGATGTAGGAAGATCCAAAGGCGATTAGAGTTCTTGCACTTCTCATGTGATGTGTGTAGATTTCATGTTTCAGATCGATGACACTGTCTGTACCTGGAAGAAACAGGAAGAGATGACTTGCATCACAGGCCAAGAGAAGAAGAGAGAGGGTACAGCCTTCACCTGGGACTCTCACTGGCGGCATGCCGAGGCTGTACTCTCTCTCTTCTCCCATTGGCCTCGGTGTGTTTGTGTTACCCATGATCGATCGCCTCGGAACCCTTTTTATAGAGGCAGCTCGTGGTCTCCGACGCCATGTGATGTTGGCGTAACCTTTCCTTTCCATTAGCGTCCTGTGCGTCGCTGGCCGCCAGCGATAGTGGGTAGGAGGTGCTGACTCCACGAGGAGCGTATGCCGGCAGATCCAAGTGCATGACTCCTGAGAGGGCTCTGACCTTGGCGTTATGCGCAGGAAGACGACGGAGGTCCACTAGTAGGACGGAGGTGGAGACGCTGTAGCTAAAGCGGTGGATGCATGCATGGCTTACGGTGCCGCTGCTGTAGCCGTATGTGCCTATGCCAAGCTTACGGGGGGTTTAGAAAGGAGAAGGCTTGTCCCGAACCATGATGAGCTGATGCTTTATATTATCGACACAGCAGCATTCGCATCGCTGTCGCCGTCGTTCGTGCGGTGTTCATCTCTCGATGTTTACGGGTCGTTAGGGTTGCATATGATGCAACTGGGTGACGGCATACGACAAACGTGAAAGATGGATCACCAGAAGAGGCCGCAGTGGTCGCCCACCCGGGGACAAGAAAGTCGCAGCAACGTCCCCCACCTCACATGGAGCGAGGCAATGCTCTCCGTCTCCACACCTATCATCTTGCGGAAGCATTATTCGTGCCTTTAGCAATGCAAAACGTCCTGCAGCCACAAGCGGAAGATGGGTGCCACGCATGGAAGCAACTTTCCGGCATCGGAGGCAGTGGACACCGAGCTCGGTTCCCTGTCAACTGATGAAATCGCAGAGGGTGCCGAGGCCTGCTCGAGTACAGGACGTGTCGCCTTGGGAGTGGGAGGAAGAGGTGCAAAAGGACAGCCAATGAAACCTCCTTGTTCGAAGCTTAGGGGCGATCGGAAGAGGGATTACTGAGGGCCCAAAAAGATGGTGAAGGATGGATTCATGCAGCGGTTGACGACAGGATTCATCACAATGCGACAATCCAACTCTCTTTTGACATAGCCGCTAGCAAACCATATCTGTCGACATCTCAATGGATGTAAAGTGTCATCACAGATGAGAAGCATGCATGAGGTCAACTTGGATCAATCCAAATGTTGGAAGAGAGACCATTATACTCTTCCGCTGTCAATTCAACATATCATAGTACTCTTTCCTAACATATGTTTCATACATCCTCATTACGAGAACAACATTTTAAGGAACAGCCTATGAATCAGATCTGATGTGGGATTGGATTTATAAGCAGAAAAAGTCAAGTCTTCTACTCTGCCGTGCTTCTGTCCAAACATATTGTGCAATTACTTCCAACAGAAGAATACATACATACTTTTTACCTCTGCTTAGGATGAGAAGCAAAATCTGCAAATCACACAATCAAAAAATATTAACTCAGAAGGAATCACATTGAATAACATCCAAGTATCGAACATTTGTAAGACCTTATAATATTCCTTGGTATAAACCTATACATTGTTTATTCACAATCCCATTCTTTTGGCACAAAGCATTTCCTTATATAAATGGAGAAATTATAGCATTCTTGCCCAATAAATAAATTTTGTAAGCTAATGAGGAAAAGCAATACCAACATAACGAGGTGGTAGCCTCACACCCAGAGATTCCAGCAAAAAAAGATTGCTGATAAAGCGGTAGATAACATAGCATCTGCGATCTGGTTTTCTCCTATTATAGGAGAAGCAAAAAATGGTTAAGAGCCAATAAAGCTCTGACAAATAATACCTCAGGCTGAATGGCTCTACGAATTCCACGATGATGATGATGATGATGATATATGGCACGACGCAACCTATGTCAGATTCTTCCTGCATTTAGGACACGACCAATTAAACACAGGAAAACACAACTTCAACCTCTTCTACGCTGACATTCACCAAATGCTGCCTCCTCCATCTTTTCTATCTAAATTTCTAGTCTCCTCTGCTCAGCATATTGATAAATGCCTCTTGCGAGTGTGTCATAGTCGAAGTCCAAGGTCTGCATCAGGCTCTGATACCTAGCAGGATCTGAGCCTCGCACAGCTGAGGATAATAGTCATGTGTCACGTATGTTCAAAATGGAGAATTACAATATCAGAAAAGAGAAACAGCAAATGTTTACCTTCCACAGTTTCAACAAAGTAAATGAAAGGGTCAACTTCATCAATTGGTGACTCTATGTATTCATCCTCATCAACTGACTGATATCCTTCCACCTGATTTCAACGTAGATAATCAGGGATAAAATAATGTTGCTGCCACAAAAAGGATACATTTCATGGACAGAACTAGATTATCTAGTGATATATAAAATACAAAAGGAAACTACAGACAAGGAAAAAGGATTAAGTCAATATTAAATAGAAAAGCCCACATCATGGGCTAAACACATCCCGATCCCTTTCAGTGAGATGCAAGATAGGCTATGTTTCAGATTAAAAAAACCATAAATACAGCAGAATCTGCGTAAACTTCATTAAAACTCAATAAAAGTGTCCTCTTGACTTGTGGATTGCTAGGATAAGGAAATAACTTAGGCTGCTGATAAAGATTTTGCATTCATCTACTAACCTCCGCTGCCAATTTCTGAAGCTTTAGACTGTATGCTTCATCCCAATCTTCATCATCATCTCCAACTTCTTTGTCAAAATCTTCTTCATCCACGTCTTCCTCATCAGAGTCGAAGTCATTTATGCCATGAACAGCAGCGATTTGCTCCTCAGCTTTTGTCCAAGCAAAAAGATTGATTTTAATTGCCAAAACTCAGCATACCAGTGCCAATGTTTTTTTTTTTTAATTGCTGCATCTTGTTGATTATATTAGAAGGAAGAGAAAATTAAGCAAGAGCATGGATAATAGTTAAGGACTTAAGGTAACAAATTAATATATATATATATATATATATATATAATTAATTTATTTATTTAGCTCACAGATCAGGGTATCGGTCGGTTCCAATTTGATACACCAATATCAGTATCGTCCCAAGTCAGTTTGATTTTGACAGATTTTTTGGCCCTATAGCTGGAAATTGGCTGGAATCAGCTAGAATCAACCAAAACACAAAAGGATTTGGCTTATTTTTATAATAAATTAAATTAAAATAAATATTAATACAAATAAAAGAAAGGCAGTACAATGATGGGAAAAAAAACAAGGGAATGATTCTTGTATTACTAATAAAAGATAATAATGGTTCATTCATTATGATTGCCTATCAGACCAGAATGCACCTGTATATCAGACAGTACACTAACCTGTATGACCCATCATCATTGAATAAAATAATTTTAAAAAATGAATTGTATGTGTATCTTTGTCAAGTTATATGTTTTGATAATGATACTTGGAGTAGTTCATATGAGAGAATATGCTATGCCACTTTATGCAACACAATGCAAAAGGATGTATCACCTCTAATTTGATTCTTATAGGAATCTAGAAGCTTGAGTGTTGCTCTAACGACGTGTGCTAATGCTTCACCAGGCAATTGATCCGCGGGCAGGCCAACAAGTGAAGTTAATCCCAAGCAGAAGACCTTTTTATCATGTTGCCTACAGTTAATGTAAGGTATTAAAACTATGGTATTGATGGAAAGTGACATGAAAGAGGATAAAAGAATTACCTTCTAAAGTTTGCAAGTGTGCCATTCATTTTTACTTCTTGAAGCATCTGGAACCAGAGATTGAAAATATCTGTAGCAACCCCAAGCTTATGTAATATTCCAAGAGTCAAAGATGCATTATAGTAAAGAGAATCAGCAATCTGCAAAGGGACAAACTATTAAAATGGAAAGTTGCATGGATTCTAAGAAGATTCCAAAATAATTGATGAAATCTAGAGGCACATAGATTCTTAGAAGTATCAATACAACTCATTTTGAGTAAGCTAAGGACACATTAGTCGTACCAAGGCAAACTTTAAGATAAGTTTGAATTGGAGGCACATGAATAAGTAAAACGTAGTTGGCCGTCAACTTGGGATATGAAACTCTTTGTATACTTCTGTGCATGTTGTAAAATCCACAGTGGTAGAAAAGATGGGAGCCCAGTGCATGAGGCTCATACCAATGCAAATTTGGGGAGGATCAATATAGGCAATAACACAGATGCATCACTGTAACTGAGTTCTGTGAAGGCCAACATCACAAATAAATTCAGAGATCATAAAATCCTCATCATTGTTTCCACTGAAGTATTTCACAGTCTTCCCTTAAAGCAAACTCACCTTGTCCTATGAGTGCAGTTATAGATATTCTTTGGAATTTGGACTGTGTGCAAAATATATAACTATATATTTCTACATTATTTTAGAAGTCAAAGATTTAACAGAGTTACAAACAACAAAACTGATGGTAAGATATTTCAGTTCAAACCAACACCACTATTTTAATCAGACTCGTTTAACAGAAAACAAACTAGGCAACAATTCCTAAATTGCTCATGCAAAGAAAAACCTTACATGATTAAATTCTCAAAGAAACATGTACAAATTTGATTAAGTTTCTAAACAGAACGAGAACACACCAATTCCAGATCTGTTACATGAGAACATGCATTCGTCCTGTCAAACCTATTTGATCACAACAAAAAAGTCCAACAAGACTTATTTCATCAGTTCATTTCAAATGCATAAGATAACCTTTGCGTTAAACACAGGATGAAGGAAAGTACTGTTGTTTGACACATGATACAGGAACTCTTACCACTAGCATCAAGAGACATTTTAAATATGGCTTCTTTGCTCTACGCAATCGACCAATGGTAATGTTCAAATAAGGCTCAACCCAGTGATCTACTTGCCCTTTACAATTTTGGAATACTACTTCAATCAGCTTAGGAGCAGGCTCAATATCACTGTCTTCCATGTTACTATCTGACATGATCTGCACATTGAATTAACAAAAAGGTTTATCACCACAAAAGACATCAACAATCACAATGTTCGCATCATTAGCATTTATTCCAACTGAGCAGTAATAACAATTACAATTGCTGAGAAGACTAAAAAATGATAGGCATATACTTTGACCATTTTAATAAAGAACTGAATAAAACCACTTCCCTTACTTTTGAAAGTACTTCCCACAGGCTTTGCTGGTAGTCTGGATCTTTGCAACTTAGGAAATGAGCAGTACTCCTGGATATGTAGTTGTCCAAGGGAACCAGTATATCTACATTTAGGGCAAATATGACATTATCAGATTCTATATGCAAATGTAAAGACCTAAAGAAAACTGAAATTAATGAGAATAGTACCAGGTATTCTTTTGTAATTAAATGACACATTCAGGGCTCCTTTGAATTATGATATGGACCATCAACCTCCTCCCCTCCCCCACCCCATCTCCTCCTCCCAAAAAAAAAAAAAAACCCTCTATCTGTTTTTGTCCATGCAAGAAACAGATATGTACACAACCCTCAGAAGAAAATTTTCAGGGTAGTCTACATGTATACCTCAAACAAATTGCAAGAACATGAACAATATAACATAAAGCTGGTGTTACTAATATGCAAAGCAACATGATATATAGAGTCAGGGCATTCACCGTATAAATTGTCGACAAGATAAAAAAACCATAAAAATTAGCATATATATGTCAACTTACTCTCAAAGAAATCTAAAGCCCAGTCTCCAAGTGCTTCTATAATTAAAGGCCAAAGACCCCACATATCCAATGAGACTGTTGGCGCATAAAATGTCATATGGGAAACAATTTTCAATACTTCTTCAAAAACATCTGTGAAACATGAACATTATCAGAAATGAGAATCGTTGCAAGCATCTAGCAAAGGTAGCAACAATAAGCTAAATTTGCAACATGAAATCACATATCACATACCTGAATAAGCAACACAATCAGAATCACATACCTTAAATCCTTGAACTTAAACTAAAGTTTACACTTACAAAACTATAATATACGTGTAACATATAGCACATGTTTAAGGACCAAAACGATTATAGAGGATACTGCATAACGAGGCCAAGAAAAAAATGCACCAAGAAGAAATTGATTCATGCACAAATACGAAAGTGTCAAGAAAAAAACAAATAGATAAGTTTTGGCATGAAATATGTAACCTGATATGGGATGAAGTGAACAATTTATGTGTATCAATATGACCTAAAAGTGATAAGCCTCGAATATAGAGGAAAACCTTGTTATCTATCATAAGAAAATATAATAATATTGATAGATATTAGATAATATCATACGTTTGAGCCCTATTATCTTCATAGTTGATTTTTTAAATTTAACATTTGGGCCTGACAAGACGATCGAAGATACCTTTCATGGACTAGGGTTAAGATTTCAAATAACCAATCATTTGCCTATTAGAAGGATAGCCATTGAACATAGTAGATGGATAACCAATGTTGATCTCATTCTAAGGATTAATAACTCATTAAGACTTTGAACACATAGAACAAATGCTTAAATCATGTTTTTCCTTGAGTCATAGAAATATGTTTTTCCATGTAAAGATAAAGTTGCATCCATGGAGACTTGTGCATTGGTTTTCTGTATATAACTATTTAAACAGACATCACAAATACATACAAACATGGATGCATTTGTTTGTACACATATATAAATTCGATTTATTAATATACATTTGACCAAGATCGAAAAAGTAGCTACCTTGACCATCTGCGGTCAGCATTCTCTGCATTATAGGTAGTAAAATGGGCTCTATTTGAACAAAAAGATGGGGAAGCCCGTTAATGGATTCAAGGATTGTGCTTATGGAATCCAAACAACGGGCAGCAGCTAAAGCACCTGAATCATCAGCTTCTTCAGCTGCTTTGGATGTACCCAGGCACTTCCAAAATGCAGCAGCCTATGCAAAGATTTTTTAAGATTTCATATCAAGGAATCAAATAAAATATAAGTGAATACTATAAAGTAACATATAATAACACAAATATTATACCAAATTCTGGCACAAGCTGTTGGCATATGGAACAATTTCTACACCAAACTTGTTCACTATGGTCTCAAGAGTGACGGCAAGGTCCTCATTCTCAACCTCATTCACAAGTTTGAAGAACTCTGCATGTAACAATTGGGACATCTTAAAAAGAATAGAGGACAACAGATACTAAGCTAAACACAACTATTATTACATACCATCAAGTAATTGAGGAATAAATGGTCGGATTTCATTTAGATCTGTATTAAGAATGTAATTCTAAGTTACTTCATGTGAAATATCAAGAAAGCACCAATATATAGACTTATAGGCTAACATTTGCATGCCTTGGCAAGCTTCAATGAAAGGCTGTAAAGCAAAGACTGAATTGACGCGCACAGGAAGATCTGGATCCCGCATTCCAGAAATAATGTGGTGAAAGATTTCCCGAAAATTTTTCTGGTCAGAGAAGTTGATGTGTGCATATTTTCCAGCAACCCATGCGGCCTAATACTCCATTAAAGAATTCCATAAATTCAAATGCATTCAAATTAATTTGTAATCAAGAAGCTTGATTTAATTCTACAAGTATAAAAGTCAATTAATTAAAAAAATCATAAAATGGTTTTCTGTAAAGCAGCTTCCGAGAACAAAAAAAAAGGAAATTGTATATCTGAATTATTCGAGAAAGTTGTGCTTTTAATGTGACCAATTTTATTAGTTTATGCATTTCAGTCATCACTATTCATGAATGATGAAACACTAATATTCGACACAGCTCAGAAACTCATCAAGCCAAATCCAAACTTGGCCAAGTTGACTTGAGCAGCAGTTGAATTTAAGTCAATAAAGCTTGGTACATGGATCAGAATTCTCAGAAAACTAGTTCTAACTCCAACTGAATATATGACTTGATTACTCACCCCATGTCACTTAAGAAATCTTTTAACTCAAATTAAAGTTTCATAAACATAAAAAATCAGTACAATAATCAATCAACTCAGCAAGTAGGAGAAAAGAATTTCTACCTGAATACCCTTATGTTTGGCCAGCCACCTATTCCAAAATCCTCAATAAACTCAGGTAGAAAAGAATTTCTACCTGAATACCCTTATTTTCTACCCCATATGCCTGCATCTGTAATCATTACTGATTTAGTTAACCTTTGTCTCCAACTTGTGGGTCTAATGACACATCCTTTTTCTTTTTAATCTCTTGATTTTTGATCTATTTTTTTCCATTTCTTACAGCTTTTCTCTTGGTACTTCATTTTGCTATTGAATCCCCATCATCAATCTTTACATCTTGTAACTAGTGATAAGTGGTCAGTTTAGTTGTTCTAGAGAAATGTCACAAAGGAAAATATTTGCTAAAAAGGAGGAGGCTATGCTTTTCCTATGTTCTGTTCAGAATAATGAACTATTAGTCTCAAATTGAAATGCAAGAACAATTTATAATGCTCTTTCTTGGCTGAGTGGCTCTTTATTGTTTGTTTCTCCACATAAATGGTTAAAAGGGTGCATGCCAAAATGCCATTTGCACCTAAAATTCAGTTTCCATACCAAATTTACTCAACCATTGTCAGTTTATGTGATGCAACATCCTCACTGGACCAGAATGTATTAGTGCAGTCATTATGTATCTTGGAAGTGGACAGAGAAACCTACCTAAGTACCTCTGACCCTGAAGTATGAAATTGGACATGAGTACCTCTGACCTAAAGCATGATGATCCATCCTGAGTACAGGACTGACCAACACCAGTCAGTATGTACGATATCGAGCTACTTCTCAAATAAGCCTATCCCCGATACAAATTGCATCTCATCTTTTTAAAAGCATGGTTGGCCAAATCTTGAGCCCGGAGATCCTCGTTTCAAGTGAATCCTGGCTATCCAGCCTCTTCACTCTCCTCTTAGATTCCTCTTAGCACCTATCATTTTCAGTAACATCACAACTACCAATTCCTCTCTTAATTACCCAGTTTATATGCTACAACTATCGTCATTTTTACAAGTTCGAGGAATATTAAAGGGAATTCTGAAGGTTAAGCTTTCTGAGCTCACACAGAGAAAGAAAAGTAACAAAAATGATATTCTAAAAGTTAAGCTTTCTAAGCAACTGCTAACACAAACAGCATGGCTTTTGATGGAAGGTGTAAATTTGTGGTGCTCATTTCATTTCCAAGAACACCTATGGGATGCTTTTGTAATCCATGTTTCGTCCCCTAACCCATGTGATAAAAGCAACTATAAGACACAGGCTCGGAACAGACCTTGTTACCATGATAAGTTCATCTAAATAAACCAAATTGTGCTGCCCTACTCTTTAGGGCTGCTATGCATTTACTCCTTGTACTGTAGAGACCCCAGCTAAACACCCTCAGAAAAAATTAACTCTTCTAAATACACAGTATATGCATAAATGAACAAATAGCTGGTCAATCAACAAATTAACAAACTTGCTATTCTATCTGGCTAAGTAGTTATGCACAGAGCACTTTCAGGAGAAAGCTAGAATCAAAATTTTTCACCTTCATCAAATATTATGCCTCAATATGTGGTGACTATGATAAATCTGGTACACAATTCTACACTAAAATATTGACAATAAAAAGCCATGAATCATGCCATGGGATTCAATTTTTAGCCCGCCGACAAAAGAAACCTAGTACCCATACCCAGAGAAAGTTCAAGAGATTGGTATCACTTTCAATCTTTGAGATGCTTGCAAATCTAATGATAAAAGAGAACTCTGTGCACCGGAAAACAAATTAGTATATGTAATTGATCATGTTGCAGTTCCAATAAAAATAAATATCAGTCTTTTTCTAACTATGCAAAATCCAACCCCAATCTTTCACAGCATGAGAATGAAGGCAACAGCCAGGTCAAGGATTTAAATATGTGTGGTATTGGTTTCACTAACCTATTTTGCCATTGAAACAGTATATGAACTTATATCATGCATTATTATTGAATAAACTGATAATAAATTTAAAAAAACTTATTGTACCATTATCAGGCTATAAATTCGGATACAATGCTTGGTTGATCTGGTGTTTACCAACCATTACTGACCATTATGGTTGAGATTTGAAACCATGATTCGAACAATTGCTGATATATATGATCGGTACAATTTCATTCTTGCGAGGGACAAATAATAGAGCTTATACAGTCAGAAACAGAAGACAGATAAGCTGCTTGCCAAGCACAGAATATAATTTAATTGGAAAAGAAGAGTAACCTTTGCTCTGAGGTGGCCAACAGGACTTGAGAACTCACGAAGAACATGCAGCACTAACATGGATTCAAGCCCTGACTTATACGATTCAGACTGCATAAGTGTATCACACACTGCTCCAATAGCCAGAAGAGCACCGTCTTTTTGACGATATGGTTTAAGCTCGACGGGTGCCTCATCATATCTGAAATAATTACATATAGTATGTAAGAAAAATATCTTCATTCCAAATTCTCCACGGGAGAAAATTCCTAATATAAAGAGCATATGAGTTAAACCTCCTGAAAATCTTCAAGATGAATGGAATAAACTTCTGTAAGTTCCCTTTCCCATGCTTCCTTACCAATTCATTCACAAAATCCATGGCTGCAGTTCGAGGACTGTATAGGTCTATATCTGGGAAGAAGAATTTATATGCTGACAATTAATGTCAAAGCTTTTATTCCAGAAACCACAACTAATAGAATGTCATGTTTTAGAACAACACTAAGTCTAAGCTCACCGTAGCCCTTTCTGACATATTCATGTGGATCTTCAGTCCATAACTTATGATCATTGTCATTGAAACACATCAGAGGAAAGACGATCTCCGAAAGGACAATGTCAAGCTGCGGCTCCAGTAATTGATGATACATACTATTCTTTGAAATACCGCAGAGCATTAATGCAACTGAGCCAGTTCATAAACTCAAGTAGACAAGTTTGTCACCACTAAACTATGCAATCACACACTTGAAATGGCAACAAAACCAAAATCAGCATGAATATATAATGTTGTAGAATTAAACAACTTTGCATGCTGGGCAAATATTGTACAGGAAGTCAAGAAACCAAAAAATGAACTACCAGCATTTACAGAAACAGCAGTCTGCAGTCATTGTGGCACACATACACTTGACAATTCAAAAAGTCTTATATCTCTCGGATGGTAGAATTAGTGCTTACTGAGTTATTCCAATTATGAGTCACAAAAACAATGCATGAAACTTTTCTTCTGTTCTGTGAATATAAAATGTAACAGTACCTATTTTTTACTTTGTAGATCAAGTTATCTTCTGAATGAGGCACAGCACAGTCAAAATGAGTCAAGCAGGGGACTTTTCTCTATATCTTAGTTGTATTTTAATGCATATCTTAGTTGCATTTTAATGCATCTTCAATCTTATTATATCTTTTGTTAGCTTGTTAAATTGGCACACAGTTATTGTTCCAACTGAGATACTACCCCAATTCTTCCTGTCACTCTACTTAGACACAACTTGTTGGCCTTTTAGTAATTTTCAACTGGAAAGAGGTCAACTAAATTTCCCAAATACTTCTCCCCTCAGGATTCAGTAAATTACTTGCAGAACAACTCCTCTAACCTCTATCATGTAATTGAGTATCTTAGCTTATAACTCAATGATCTAAAAAAAGAAAAGAATGAAAAGAAAACAGATGATGTTTAAAGATAGTTTAATCTAGGAATTACAATTTGTACATGACATGGATTATAAAATATTACAATGGAGAAATAGTTTATACAACTGGGTGATCAGCTAGATTGAAACAACAAGAAACTAGGGAGATCAAAGCAAGACAAACCTGCTGTTGATATATTGAAGCACAAGGTTGATAACCCTATCAGGAAGATAACCACCTGCACGAATAACATTGAGTGACTGTAGGTGGCATTCCAAAATCTTGCCAGCATAACTCTCTTGAAACATTTGAGCAAATGCTTTGTTCTCTGGCTTCTTCAGAAGCTTCACATCTCCAAACCTGTTAGCAAAATTCTTCACAAACCGATAAGCAGAATATGATAGAAAGATAATGTTTCACATCTCAATAATAGAAAAACTTCACCTAGTATACAAATGATTTAATATCTGAATTGTCCACTTCTTGACTTTCCACCAACCCCAAGATTTTCTGAGATCAAGATTAGACGGTTGACCTTCTAAAGGAACAGGTCTCTCCAGTAGATTCAAGAATAGGAACATCCATTCACTGAATATATTTGGATCAAGTAGCTTTTGTGGGATCTCCAACTGAAAAGGAATTTTAAACCAAGAAAAAAAATAAAAAGCCAGTAAAATTAAAAAAGAACCTGGATTTGGTTTACTAGACAAACATACGTCTATAGATGACCAGAATATTTTGCATATGAGCTTGATAAGATCAGCTACTTCAATTGTGGGGTTAACAATCTGAACAAGTTTGGTAAATTTGTTCAATATAAGAGGAAATGTCTCATCAACAATGAGATGAAGTGGTGTTTGCTCCTCATCAGACTTTAACCTTAAAGTAAAGAGCAACAAAAACAAACAGTCAACTTACCAAAAATCTAAGAAAGTTAAATAACAACTGAAATAAATTAGTATTGTTTGATATTATCATATTAATGCAATTGAAACTAAGAGCCACCAAAAAAAATTCATCATCGTAATAGAACCTAGTTGCATACTCCAAAACACCAAAACTCTTGTTTAAGGTGGACAAATGACAAGAATGTACAAACAGCAGTAAGTATCTGGCAAAGGAAAATGAGACCATAAAAATGCATCCAGGTGTAAAGCATGGCTGATTTGAAGTAGACAGCCCTTGATGCAATCACTCAACAAAACATGCCACCTTCTGTTACATTAGGAATCTTCTATCTTCAAAGTTCCACAATTAACCTTGTAATCTTTTGAGATGTTACTTTAGAAATTCCAAATAACAGAACAGAGATCATTGAAATTCCCACCTACTGTTAATTTACTTTAACTGCAGAAAAACAGAAGGGGAAAACTAGGTAGAATATAAAAAAAATAACCAAAGAAAATTAATAAACAGAAGACGAGTGCCTACCTGCCTACTAAAGATGGTCTTATTTCATTAAGAAACTCAGATGCTCCACAAAACAATGCAATCCGCAAAACCTTCTCTTGTAAAGACTATTTGACAGGCATCTAAGTGTCAAGAGTATTTGAGTAAAAAGTTTCTGACACAATCAGCCATTTATCGTTTCTGGATTATGAAGATTTCTTTTCAATATTGCTACTTAAACTGCTAAAAACTTTAGTAGTACAAACTGCTAAAGTTTCCTATTGATAGCAATAACAGAAACCAGCAAACATATAAAGCAAATCTGCTGTAACTGCAGGAAGACAGTATGTAGGATTAGAAGGTAGGAAAAGAATAAAGAGGACACAGATTAAAGAAACACCGACTAGAAACTAGTACAAACTGCAAACTACCATAGGTTTCCCATGGAGGACTACAACAGAAACAAGAAATAAATTACAGCTGGTCTGCCATAACTACAGTAGGACAGGTAGAAGAAAGCCTACAAAGTAGGATAAGAGTATAAAGTATGCAAAGATTAAGAAAACAAGAGGAAAAGAAATTGCCCCACCCTGCTAGCTCAACAAGGCTTTTCTTTCATAACGGTGTTCCCACATATGCTCCTTATAACCATAAACATGCAGAGACCAACCAATCCCCAACATAAACAATAAAGAGGGTCTCAAGTGGCAAATGACAAGTTACACCAAAATTAACTAACTTATGTCATAGATATGACTATAAGTGGACTCGTTAACTGGCTTAAGAACCATTCACTCAAAAAAACTGGATAACTTTTGGAAGTTACATGGGATAATAAGTAGGCAAATATGGCTAAGCCCTGGATATGGAAGGCAGGTAGAGAGGTCCACCAGTTAGGTACCTGATGTTCGACATCAGTGCTCTTTTCTTTTCTCTTCTTTTGTCAAATCCCCCCATCTGAATGTTGTTAGTAGCTTTTCTGTATTGAACTAACGTGGGCGCCAGCCAAACCCAGGGTGAAAGCTGGGTGATGCAAGTCTGAACCAGATGAAAGAACTGGATCACATCACCAAATGCTTTAAAATGATCTAGCTAGGGTTTTTAATGCTCTCTCTCTCCACGACAGCATGCATCTTGGTCATTCCAATATAATCTGCCTACCAGTCTCTATATACCATAACAACAACATGTAGCATGCTAATCATCAGCCTTCTTAGTGCTTTAACAAAAGAGCAATCTTTAACCTTTAGTACGAAAATGCTTACCTCATTTTTAGGACTCCATTTAACCAAACATCAGCAAATACTGAACTTGGAATATTAAATCACAAGGTTGAACTTTACCAAATTGCAATGAAGAAACCAACTAAGATATATATGGATAAAAGGTGAAAAGGCCAATTAAGTACCATTCCTTGGTCAGCAGATATACTTACTCGTATTTCCGAGAAAAAACCCTCAATACATATAAAGCTGCAAATTCTTGCTGATCTTGTATGTTTAACTTAATCCAGTGAAGAAGACCTGGCCAATGTTCTGGATAATCATCTTGGGTGATAGTTTTCATACATTCTACAAGTTGTACTCTGTGTGATGCAAACATGAATGTCAAAACTAATATTACTGGCAATTATATATAATTATATATATATGTATATATACATATACATATACATATACATATACATATACATATACATATACATACATATATATATATATATATATATATATATATATATATATATATGCTTTACATGCCAAGCAATAGTATAAAGAAATTTTGAGAAATGTTCTTATAGAACAAAAGTATCCAATATACGTGAATGTCGAACAAATCAACATAGAACTTTGCAAATGTTTAGTACTAGATTAAATGTATACCATGATAGTACAGTTGAACATACAATGATCCACATTTTAGATAACTGGGTACTCAAATACAAAAATTTATGATGTGAGGCGGGAAAAACAACAGAAGTAGTCATTGACATGGCAAGACACACTTATTAGGCCTTTTAACAACCCAGTTACAGCTAGTTCAGTCTGCAAAATTTTTTATCTGAGCAACTGCTGTTAAATGACCTAACTCTCTTCTGTAGCCCTTAAAAAAAGCTACACAGACTTGAGAGGAAAATGGCAACTTTATAATAAAAGAACGTCATTAATCATAAAGAAAAGTACTAGCCTATCAATGTAGTATAATTCACGGTTTACCATACCGTAACGTACCGCTCGATGTAGGCGGTATGTACCAGTCCAATAAGGGACTGGTACATGTGGTATATCAGTATACTTCCATGTATCATGTGTCAGTACGTTTGGTATAACTCAATACAATTCGGTACGTACCGTACCAATAGTTGATCGATACATTGGTACGGACCGGTAAGGTAAACAATAGTACAATTAAGCCAAGGCATAATAGAAAGGAATAGAGACAACTCTAGTAGTAGGCATGGAAAAGAATTTAATGAGCATAGAAATTTAAAAGCAACACCTGTATGATGAAGTAACAAAGACATGGCAACTAAAGCATAATGATAATGCAAAAGAAAACAATGGACTGCCTAGGGTGGATAAAAGCATCTAATCAGAACTGAAACATGAGCTGACTGCTGGATTTATGAAGCACTACAAATATATATATATATATATA